TGCAATTTTTTTTGGAGAATATACCCTTATTAAAGTTTGTTGGGCTACGTAAGGGGCTCACTTTGATATAATTATGTCTGTGATCGACTGGGTATTTTCGGCGTAATTTTTGGTTAACTAAGAAAAGCCCAAATGTTCCATTTTTGGGGTGAAATTTCGGGCCCGAATTTCGCAAAATAAATTACACCAGATTAATTCTGCTAAAAATTTAAGCTAATTTTGTCTTCATAAGTTTTCACCTAAACTCAACCCAATTTGAGAAAAACGGGTTTTAAATTTCAAGCTCAACGCGTTTTGTCCGGTTAATTTAAATCAGCACTGTACATATATACATACGTACATACAGAGATACATACATACATACATACATACATACATACATACATACATACATACATACATACATACATACATACATAGATAGATACAAAAATACTTACATTTAAACATACATACAATAATACATACATACATACATAAATACATACATACATAAATACATACATATACATACATACATACATACATACATACATACATACATACATACATACAAACATACATACATACATACATACATACATACATACATACATACAAACATACATACATACATACATACATACATACATACATACATACATACATACATACATACATACATACATACATACATACATACATACATACATACATACATACATACATACATACATACATACATACATACATACATACATACATACATACATACATACATACATACATACATACATACATACATACATACATACATACATACATACATACATACATACATACATACATACATACATACATACATACATACATACATACATACATACATACATACATACATACATACATACATACATACATACATACATACATACATACATACATACATACATACATACATACATACATACATACATACATACATACATACATACATACATACATACATACATACATACATACATACATACATACATACATACATACATACATACATACATACATACATACATACATACATACATACATACATACATACATACATACATACATACATACATACATACATACATACATACATACATACATACATACATACATACACATACATACATACATTTTTTCTACTGGTCATTTTGCTCGAGTATTTGAAAAAGATCGCTCATATTGTTAGTGGTTTAGACATCGAAAATATCTTGCTTGAGTTGAGAACGGTTAAGCACATTTTTTAAGTTATAGATAGTACTTCAACTGCATCTTAGCGTCTCATTAACTTTCCAGGCCTTTTGATGGTTTTAATTGCTTTTCTTTATAAGACCGCTCAAAAACCGCTTAAAAACCTCTCAAATCTTGCTTCAAAACCGTTCAAAAACCACCGCAAGGAATGAGCGATAGCGTTTGTAAGATTTTAAAAGCTCTGCGGTTATGAATGAAAACCCAATTGTTTGAACATATCTTATGGTTCAATTTTAGCAGAATTAAATAAAGCTGCAACTGTCGAAGAACTTCCTTTTTTCAATTTCATTATGTTTTGAAACCTAGCAACAGACAAATAAACAGGGCCAAATCATTTAAAAACCCAAAAAGAGAACATATTTTTTAATGGTTATGAAACAAAAAATAAATAAGGAGATATTTTTTCGCTAGCCCTATCGGAGCGAATCGAATATGTGATTTGATTTATAATGCAACTCAAACTGCATACTGAATAAAACCGAGAAAACAAAATATAGAAAAGTCCAATGAAACAAATCGAGGCAGTTTAATCAAAGTCATTTGAGGGAAATTCTAAAAAAAAATGAGATGTAGAGTTTAAACGGTTTTTTGTGTAACCTATAAACTGTTTTATGTCAAACAATGAGTTGAAAGCAAAGCAATTACTTATAACTAAAGGTTTATATGAGAATGTCGTCATCACAAATAAATGAGCAATGAACTGAATACCCGAGTCGAGATTTTTAACCTAATTTGAAACAAGATTTGAGCGGGTTTTTAGACAAGTACGCTCAAAATCTTGCTTCAAAATAAGCGGTTTTTGAACGGTTAATCTAAAAAGACGGCTCAAAAACAACGCAAGATTAGAACAGTTTTGAGCGGTTTATCCAAAAAAAAAACGCCCAAACCGCTCAAACCGCTCAAATATTGCTGGAAGACCACTCAAACCGCTCATATCTTGACCGGTTTTTGAGCGGGATCTCGACCCGGGTAACCGTTTTCGGAGAAAAATTACGAACAATTAAAGTTCTCAAGTCTTCCTACTCTAAATTTTCTATTACTCATATTCAAAATTGCCATGTACATTCAAAACTATTTTGACGAAAAACCACTAACAATACAATGTTCATATCAAGTTTTTCACAATCAATGAAAATAAGCAACAACTGAATAGCCCAACATCCGAAAAAAGTGACCGGTGACCAAATTTGTTCGAACATGTGCTCTGAAATATAGATGTAACTAATTCTACATTTAACATTTTAAACTTCTCTTAACATGAAAATAATTTGTTTCTACAGAAATTGGATGCAAATTGCAAACTATATTGATAAAATTTGACGCTCATTTTGCAAAAATTAAAAGAAAAGTTTTCTTGTTTCCAGTTGGTTGATGATATAGTTGAGTGCTTTTCCCATTCAACTGACTTTTGGCTTCAAAAAAGCAAAAGACGAGAAGGAAAATTAAGATGAGATAAGATAAGAGACGAGACAGAAAGAGCGAGAGAGAGAGAGAGAGAGAGAGAGAGAAAGAGAGAGAGAGAGAGAGAGAGAGAGAGAGAAAGAGAGAGGAGAGAGAGAGAGATAGAGAGAGAGGAAATTGAGAGGAGAGAAAGATAGAGAGAGAGAGAGAGAGAGAGAGAGAGAGAGAGAGATATGATGATGATGATGATGATGATGATTAGTGTGTATTTGTGTGTGTATGATAGAGAGGGAGAACTGGCAAACCTAGATTGCACAATGTCAATCATAGCAGAAATTTATTCATAAAACAATATGAATTTTGTATTTTTACTCAAGAAAACAAAATTGAGAGAGCCACTACTGAAATCTTTTTTCTGCCAGCTTTTTTTCGTTATAGACATATTCAAATCGTACGTTCTCTTTTGAGCAAACCAACCTTGAAGCAAAATCGTTCAGATGTTCTATTTCACAAACTTTTGCTGCCTAGATGACAAGTTACTTAAAATAATTTATATAAACAATTGAAATAGTTTTTTATAGCGTTAAACTTGGTTGTTAGCCGAAAATTGTGCTTGATTTTTGTTCAATCGATCAAAAAATCTTGGACAAAAATTTATCACAAAGCTTTTTGAGCGATTTAAAAATTGACAATTTAGCGAACTCTTATTGATTCAGCAATATTTTTTTCAGCACTGCCAAGCTTCAAAATTTTTCCAACTTTACTTACTTGCTTATCAAAAGTTTTTTTATAGTTTCAGTTTGATTTATATTTATTTATGACTGAAATTTTTGTCAAAATATAATCAAGAGTGATCAACATTTTTAAAGTTGAAATTGATTTTAAAAAGTTTAAACACAAAGTCTGTCATTCCTTTTGAAATAAAAATAAATGCTTACATATTTTCTGTTCTGTAAATCGTGCACCCACATAAATACCTTTTGCTTTTATTTAGTTTCAACAATTGCTTTTTTGTTTAAATACAATAATTTGAAACATAATTGAATCCGTCATTTGATGTTTGAATGCTCTGGAAAAAGCAGACAGTGATTAGCACTAAGACTGACTGTTGATTTGGAGACTATTTAAATCAACCCGTCTCGCAAATTACTGTTGACAACCGCCAAGTTGTATGAAATCAAAAATCAGCTTCAAATTTCTCACAAAAAGTTGGCTTCTGTAGACAAAAGATCAGTCGACACCGATTTTATTGAAAACAATTACCCGGTTTTTCTCCATTTTCAAAGGTTAAAAATTCAGAGTTATTTATGAGGTGGCAATAAAAAATGTACTAAATTAAAGTTCTTGGAGAGTTTTTTAGTAACCTAAAAAAATGTATTTGGGCACTTTTCGTCAAAATTTTGCCTTAGTTGCAGAGTTGTTGGTAAGGATGATAAGGAAATAGAGTATCTCTCACTGCTGGGGAGAAGGCGGAAAATCAGTTCGGTCAAATTAAAAAAGGTCGACTAGTTTTATGGAAAACCGCCACCTAATCCAGCAACAGGGGGCGGCGGTGAAGTTGTTACGTATCCGCCTCTCAATCAAAAGGGATAACCGACAATTCAGCCAATAATAGTGACCGCTGCAGTCGCGCCAACGTGTTGCGAGCTTGCCAACAGAGAATAGGATTCTATACAAAATTTAGAGGCGGTTATCGCCGCGAAGCGGCGACGGGCGCGTAGAGTGCCCACCGGCGACCTTAAACCGAGAATTAACTCCAGTTCCGATTTTTTTTCGAATCTAGTGTTATGTAAAACAGGCTGAATTGTCCCCGGCTGAAATTTCTGTATTATTTTGGCTGAATTGCCTGAAATTCAAATTGGCTGAATTGCCCTTGACCGAATTGTCTGTGCGCCCATGAGAGTACCCTTTCTGCAGTTTTTTGCTCAACAAATTTTGATCAGTGGAGCCACTGGTCCTGTACAGTTGCAAGACCAACTAGGTTTTTCTATATGTCAAGAAAGTTATGAAAAATCAACTTTTAATTTCAAATTTTGTGCTTTATCATGGCTTATGAATATAAATCTGCTACCGTTTTGCAACGCATGAATGTGGAAAATTTGTTGCATGGAAGTCATTCGACTTTTTTGTTTTAAAATAAAATTCATAAGGTAATTTTAGAATTCCTAACCTCGTCTTGCTGGCTGAGTGGAAAAAAAAACTATTGGGTGAGTCGATTTTTGTAAGGATATCCAATGTTTTGAGTTAAGATTTTAGTTCAACATCAGGGAAAGAATTACACCAATCACAGTTCTCTCCTCAGACTTAGTGATATTTCCGGTTTCCGTAGCAGTGTTGGACATACACGCACTCTCTAGATCAACCGGGTCAGCCGTATCAGTGGCCGCATATGCGTCCGGTGAACGATCTGAACATGGCTTTTCTCATCTTAGCCATGGCCAGGTAGCAAGGAGTTTTGGCAGCAGCCCCAATTGAACCTGCCAGCTGGGCCAGTCCTATCTCGAACTTCTGCACTCCATTATTCTGAAAGTCGGCTACAAATTATTGACAAAACCGGAGGGGACTCTTCAGCAGATTAACCGGTCAAAAAACAGTATTTTAGCCTAATTAATATTTTGACATAATTTTTACGCGCTGAAATGGGTAAAAATTAATTTAAAACGTCAAAGTTAGTGGTTTTAGATTAAATAACTTATCCAGATTTGCTGACCGAAAGGATATTGCCAACAGTTTGGTATTAAGTAGGACATCTGCAAGTTACGCATGTTCCAACATTCTTACAGACTTTATGAAAATTTAAATACCGCGTCCCTTGTCGCAAAAATGATGAAATCATTCGTTGTTGATTTTTTTCAGCGTTCGTTGTTTTTGTTTGCCCAAAAAATTTTGCTATAAATTTAAACCCAATTATTTTTCTCTTTTTTTTTACAAAATTAAGCTATTGGAAAAGCAAAAAAAAACTATTTTTTTTCAATAACGAAGAATCATTTAGTTGCTATTCATTGACAAAGTAATAGAGTTAAATGCAAATCAATTGAATTTTTGGCTGCGGAAAGCTCAAAAGACTGAAAAAAATCATATAAATTATGCAACAACCGATCGTGCCGTGAAGAAGATGGCATACTGGACCAGGGAGAAGATGGTGAACACAGCACAATGAAGTGTAAGAGCCACATTCACCTAAAACAATCACCGTGGTGTTTTTTCTGCGGCTAAGATTAACTAGTTTTTTTTCTGCTATAGGGCCAAAAGCAATCATTTGAGCGTTTCTGTTTTTGAAAATAAAAACCCAGAATGTATTCCACCAGAAACATTTTCAACCGAACAGATTTGAGCGTTCCGTCGAATTTTCAAAATTACGACATACTCTGTCTGGAAGCAAACAAAAAATAGTACAGGGGCGAATTTAGGGGGCGGGGGCGTGGCGGTGGTGGGGTGGACGGACTCTTTTTGCTTTCAGGGATTCGACCCCTTGCCGACCCAAAGGGTCCCCTTAGGTAATTTTATAGAAAAAAAATTTTTGGCCGACCGACCCTAAAATTTTCCTAAGGGGCCTCCTTTGTCAATATATACTAAAAATCAGGGGGAACGCGCGCCAAAAATTTTTTTGTCAATATTTTCAAAATTGTTTTTTTTTTTTCAATTGAATTGTTTTTTTTTTTGAAAAACTTGCCGGCGGCGCAGAAAACATGGCCAAAACAGCGTCCTTTTAGTGCTTTATGCTTTAGGAGAGCTCGGAAAATCAATTTGGTCGCTCTAAAAAAACTCGTCAAAATTGTTGAAATTTTTTTGAAAATCCCCCCATCGAGAAAATCCTAGATCAGGGGCGGATTTAGGGGGGGGGGGGGGTCGGGTTGGGGCGGACGCCCTTCCCTCAGGGATTCGACCCCCTGCCGACCCAAAGGGTCCCCCCTTTGATACTTTTTCAGAAATCCGTTTTTGGCCGACCGACCCTAAAATTTTTCTAAAGGCGCCTTGGGAAAAATTTGAGGGGGAGCGCGCGCCAAAAAAAAACGCTATTTTTTTGTCAAAATTTTTCAAAAAGTGCCCAAAAAGTGCCCGAAAATTTTGTCAAAATAGGGGCAAAACAGTGCTTTGGGAGAGCTCGAAAAATCAATTTGGTCGACCTAAAAAAAAAAAAAGGTCAAAATTTTGAAAAGTTTTTGAAAATCCGCCCCCCCCCCCTCGAAAAAATCCTAGATCCGTACCTGTCCTAGACCAACCCCTGCCTAAGTATGATGCGTTTTTGTCTTTGTAAGGCATTATCCACAGTATCGGTCACATAATGTTCTCCTACGAACAGTTATAATTTTTCACTGTATTATAAAACATTCCCTATAAAAATTAATTAAGTAAGTCTTATACAACGCCTAAACGCATTATAGATATTTCTGGAAGTAGTTTTCAAAACTACTTGGCTCATAGTGATAAGTTTGTGGCCTGAATATTAGAAAAATGGATAAAAATGTTGACAAATTTTACTGTCTAAATATGGCTTTCAAAACTTTTTATAAATGAACTGCCTGTTTTGCCCACCATAGAGGATAAAGCGCAACCATTAACATCCCTGAATGATTTGCATGGAAAATGGCTAATGTTTTATATAATTGAATTATATTTTTTCAACAACACTCAGAGCAGCTGTTTCAGTATAAAAACAAATTCTTTCCATTTTGATAGCTGTTGGTAAAAACTTTCACCATGCAAATATATATATATATATATATATATATATATATATATATATATATATATATATATATAGATATACATATATGTATGTGTGTGTATATATATTTGGTGCTTTCTATGAAAACGAATTTACCATGCAGCTGTTCATTCAGAGGAAAAGAGTAAACAGGAAGAATAGAGGTTAATCGAAAAAATGACGTAGAAAACTTATTGTCAGAACAAAAGACGAATTGAATAATTTTTGAAGTTTTTTCACAATTTAAATGATACATCGAAAGATATTTGAAATGGCAACAGTCAATTACAAATGGTTCAGAAAAGCGAGTTACGATTAAATGCAGACTCTAGATTTGATTGAAATAATTTGTGTGGCCGTTTATAAAAAACCACAACAATTTGACGGCAAAGTTGTTACTTTTTGTTGCCTTTTTCGACAACAAGGGTTTTTTCCAAACTTTGAGCAGAATAGTTAATTATTAGTTTTGGGTATATGTGGCTCGCCCCCTATGAAATTAATGATGATATGTTAGAAGGTCATAGTTATAGTTGAAGAGTGAAAGTTGAATGACTGAATTAATGAATGTGTCAAGGTCGGTACCTGTCGACAGTGATAACAAGTGGTTGGTTAAAAAGTGAGAGAGTCGCTCTCTTGTTTTCTGATAGACGATTGCTGAATACTTTATAGTTAATTCATATCAGTTCAAAATATCTTTGTAAGTTTGCCAGTTTAAGAGAGTCTGTCGGTTGTAATCTCACATGACGCAGCCAGCAGTTTTGGTCGGCGAGGACCGAACTGATCTGGTAGGGGTACCAGCGTTCTGTCCCAAACCAACAACGGAGCCTTTATTCCCCTGGGAGTGGTGGATTGGACAATTTTTTTAGCCGTAAATCTAAGAGAACACTGCAACGTGAAAATTCGACTGAGTGACCCAGTAGAAGTTTTTTTGACGACTCCCACCACAACCAGAGAGAAAAGGAGAAGCTGCAGAAGAGTCCAACAGAAGGAGCTAATCATATTGCAATAGATCAAACTGAAATCCTCAAAACTAAGGAACTCAATGGCGAAAGAAGAAAAAAAAGGATCAAAATTCGGACTTTCTGTACGTTTCCACGAGGCGAACTATTGAATCAAATCGCGTTTAATCTTCTCTTTGGGATCAGAAGGTAAGAAAAGATGTTGCAACTACTAAATTTCGGGATTTTTTACAGCTACAGCGAAGCTCTTTTCAAAAAGAACAAAAATTATAATATTGAAAGAATAAATCTTTACAAAACTCAACCATCAAATCGCAAAAACTCGGAGACATTTTTTCTGAGATTATTGTGCCAAGCAGCCCAAGGTGGTTGGACTATTGACTGAGAAAAGAAAGCTGTACGTGATATCTTCATCACAAAAATGACGTTTAAGGTTATACAATGTGATATTTGTTCTAGACCAGGCAAAACAACTCAGGAAACCCTCAAACCCGCCATTCTTCAAGAGAAAAGTTATGTATTTGCCTCCACTTTACAGAATTAAATGGGCCTTACTCAGGACCATCTAATCCAAAGTCTAAATCTAGCCAGAACTATCATAACTCGTTTAAAATCAAACAGGAACAAACTCTATCAGTTCAGCGAAAGAACAAGATAATATTTAAAATAAACTGAGAACAGAACTCTAGAGGAAGATTCAATCATCGACATAATCAAAACCAATAAAGAAAAAGCAAACTATACTTTTTTCGAGGAAAGATTTTTTCTCGTAACCACAAACTCTCATGTCCGGCAAAGAACGCAACGTTTAAGATTTGCAACAAAAAAAGGCCATTTCGCCAGATGCTGCAGTTTCAGGAGTAACATAGAAGTGGTGAAGTCACAGCAGAAAAAGAATGCGACTTTATCGCAATGCACAAAGAAATAGAATATTCAGTTTTGATGATTTCACCAATGGGTGAACCCACCCAAAAAATCGGAAACCCTAAAAATTCAGTCGAAAAACTAGAAATCATCAAACCAGCCACTGGAAAAACCAGATGCATGTAGATCACTTTAAAAGGCAGCAAAACATTTTTTCAAGACACGGGCAGCCACGCTTTTTTTTAATCAAAACGAAAACCGCAGACTTTTTAGACAAATCTGGCACCAACGTAAGAATGCTGTGGGTCTCGGAAATTCCTATCGACACCCACTGTCTAGATTACAACAGAAGAACAATCAATCTATTTGGCCCGTTATTCGCAGACATCTCATCACTGAGCTGGCATATCAACCTAGAAAAACTCTTTATCTCAATAAATTGTACCAGATGCCTCCTGGAAATTAGATCTGCAAAGCTCACTGGGAGTCCAAACTACCCAATCAAGACCAACTTTCGCATGCGAAAATTCTTTCTTGTCGAATGAAACTGATCCGTGAGAAAAAACTTATTGGAGAATGTCAAGAACGTTTTCACCAGAGAGGGCAGGTCAAAGAATCATCGGGTACATTGCCAGGTATACAAAGATCCATTGGTTCCCATTCAAGAGAAAAATCGGAGAATACCAATACACATCTAGGACAAAGTGGGTACCAAAATCAAGAAACTCATCAGAGAATGACATATTGTAAAGCTAAACAAACGCGCCAGCGACCATTTTGAAGCACCGATGAAAATTACAGCCAAGAAGGACGGTTCTTTTGAACCAGCCATGGACGCAAAACCCATGAACGCCCAGATTTTCAAAAATGCCAAACCTTCAAAACCCATGAACGCCCAGATTTTCAAAAATGCCAAACCTTCAAAACCCTTGAACGCCCAGTTTCTTACAAATGCCAAAACTTCTCGAACAATTAGACCTTTCTGCGCAAACTATCAAAGCGGATACCCCGGGAGAAGTTTGGCTTACCTCACTTGACCTAAAAAATTCGTTTAGTCAATTTTTACTCAGTGATCTTGTCAGTAGCCATTGCAATTTTAGTTTTGTATGCGGGGAATGAACAGGTACCTATCGTTTTAAAACTAAATTTTACGGCCTCACAGATATGCCCAAGGAATTTCAAAAAGCAATTAACAACAGGGCTACAAAATATCAAAGGCATAACCAAATATCAAATATCACTAATTGTTTGGAAGGGCTCAGTTGAAGACTACAACAAAGTTCTAGAAAATTTTTTCTATAAATTAGAAAGGGAATGTTTGCTCTCATATTATCGAAAGGTGAAGTTTTTGTATACAAGACATCGTGGCTGGGTTTCAATATTTGCAAATCCGGGTAATAACCTAAATTCTCAAGAGTATAGACAGTTCTACAACTCAAACCTTCGCAGGCTCTAAAACAGCTTCGTCCATTCATGGGAGAACTCAAATATTTACAGAAATTTCCAACCAATCTTCAATTACTGACTGAGCAATTTAGACCCTCGCTGAAAATGAATAACAAATAGAATTTTATCTGGGGAATTGATCAACAAAAGGCATTCGATTACAACCTCAAGCTAGTATCGAACATTACAAAAATGTATCATTC